TAACCTGTCTAGTGAGAGAACCCCACCTGAGAGAGAGAAATTTGCCTTTTGATTATGATGTTACACATCATATGTCAGCCACACTCTGAACCAGGAAACATGGCAGCTAGGTAAGCCTTGAAGCTTTGTGCAGGTCAGCTCTATCTGCTCCCCCGGGATTATTTAATTCACTTGTGGAATGAACAACCATATGTGGCCTTTTGTCAGAGGATATTGATATATTTGATGGCCAATACAGTGATAGGAATAAAGGTGTTTTGTTATCATGTAGTTTAAAGACTAGATATTTTCCCAGCATGCTCTTTGCTTTAGAACTGTGGAAAAGACCACCAAACATGGAATATAATCAGCAATATAATTGGCAATATTCTAGACTAACTAAGATTTCATAGCTGCACTCTTATTTTTGTCTCTAGAAAAACCCTTTTTAAATATATGACTGTCCACTGGAACATCAGAAATGCCAGCTAAGAAAAATACTTTTCTGAAGCTAATTAATTTTGCATGTGAAGTAGTGCAATTAGACTGAAAAGTGCTATCCTTCCTGGTGAGCATTCATGTTACAAACTTGAGCAAATAGGGGTAGTTTTCTTTCTATTTCATTTTTGGCACAACGTCCTCGCTTAACTAAACTGCACTAGACTTGCAGGCCTATAAATCTTGACTACCTCTCAAACTATACACAAGATTATTGTACATATATTTCAGAGACTGTGCCTCCAAGCAGCTCATAATTGGAGTTATTTTCTAAGATCTTTTCTTCTATCATATCTGATAAATGAAAGATTAGATATTTTGCACATTCCTGGGGAAAAAACTTTTTACTTTGAACTTTAAATCTTTAGAAAGTTGAAGAACAATGAAGAAAAAATAATAACAGCTAACCAAGATGAGGGAAAATAATTGAAATGCTAAACATCTGGTTTTGTCAGAAAATAGTGAAGTTACAACTAGAAAAAACTTCAGATATCTTATGATAATTACTATGAAAATCTGAACAGAAAAAGTCAGCAGAGTCAACTTTTCTGAGAACTTCAAACACACTTTGAAGAAAGTCTGTTTTCATCCTTGATCTGAGCGAGAGGAAAATCTAGTAATTGAGTTTAAGATTAGAAATGAGCATTACATTTAAAAATGTTTAAGTATGTAAACTGTCTCTAGGTGATGAAACTTCTTTGGTAATATAAAATGATATATTTTTCTTTAGTATGGTATTTTCCTTTAACCTAGTCCATAATGATTACTGTTTAGTCTGCCCACATGGAATTGTTATATCATTACTCATGCTTTAGAAAAATAAAAATGAAGATAAAACAATTCCAGATTTTTTTTTCCTGAGAGACAAGGAATCACATTTGCAGCTCAGAGGTTCTTCCCTCCCCCATTTCTGTTTCTCTTTTTTTTTCCAACATGAAGCTTCTAAGCTGTATCCAGTTTAAATGCTTCAGGAAGTATCATCTCACCAACTAACAAAAAAAGGCTTCCTCATCACTCATCCTTCTATAGCATAAACTAGCAAAGTCGTTTTTTCCTGAGAATTGCAGGTGTAAAATCCTTTTTTAAAATCATTTAAATATAAAAAAATCCAAAATATGGAACTAGCTTGGTGATATAAAAATGCTGCTTGATATAAAGTTTTGATCTAAAACTAAGATGTGTTCTCAATAGTACCAAATATATACATATGTCTTGGTACGGCCAACTGTACATCAGGAAGAATATGTGGAAGCAAATAGAATTAATGCAAATGTAGTAAACTGCTAAAGTCATGAAAAAAATCAAACCAAACCAAAGCAAAACAACCAACCAACCAACCAAACAAACAAACAAAAGAGCACACACAGCCAAACAGAAGAAGCTGAGAAGAAGCATCAAAAAGGAATGCACATTTCCAATTAACAGGCAGCGATTTGCTTAATTTGGCAGAGCCACCAGGAAATTCAGTGGGGTGGGATGGATTCAAGAATGCACCCACACCACCTAGGGATATTATTGACAATGTGTTTATTTAGCAGGACAGGTAGAGCAGATGAGTGGCAATTTTTATCCTACACCATATCCTACATGCCCACAACAAAGCAGCCCCTCCCTCTGCCCAGTTTAGACAAGCAGAGAAGCAGAACCATCTCCCCTCATGCTGACACGCCCATGACCTCCTGTTTGCCTTGTACCTGTGCCAGTGTCTCCTTGTCTCTAGTTTCCATATGATCTCAGGTATCTGTGTATGTCATTCCTCCAACAATGGACACATTTTAAATTCTTTTATTCCCTTCTACTTTTATTCTTACTTTTTTTTTTTTTTTTTTCCTTCTACTATTTTCATATGTCACCCGTGGCCTTGCTGAGCATGTAGCCTTGCACCAATCTCTTAGACTTTCTCTGTACCTAAGCCCAAGCAGCAGTTGCCACTCTCTGTTCTCTCACCCTCTGGCCTCCTTCCTCAAATGTGGTGCAAAAGCTGTGAACTCAGCAATAGCTGCCAAGGCAAATTTTGTCTACTGCCACTGTATTTCTAACTCATCTGAAATTAATCCAGTTGACTGAAGCTGGGCAGGAACAGTAGAGATTGTGTATTTGAGGACATGATTTTCAGGGTAGGCTTCACCTCATGACAGGCTGGTTCAGTGGGCTGATCCCTAAACCACCACAAGGCACCTACATTTGCTATATAAATCCTCTACAGTGAACAACTCCCACATTCCTTCTCTTGCACCCTCCCTTCTTCCAGGGTTCACCCCCATCTCTCCACCTATAGCCAGAAAGAGCTGACCCAGCAGCTAACCGAGGGGTAAATCTGGAAATGGTGTGTTAATGGCATTCCCTTCTGCCACCTTTGTTTATTCCCATCTTGATGCCACACATTAAATATAAAAGAAGCCCTCAGCCTTGCTTACTCTCCCCCTTCCCCCATCTCTGCCCTCCTGACAAAGTTTCTAAATAAACCTTGAAAGCCACTATCAGTTGTAAAATGTCTAATCAATGAAAGACACCGGAGTCAGTAATATGAAACCCTTTGCCTCAAGATCTCAGTTTCTTACTGAACTTCAGTCTTTAAGGTCAGGCATTCTTGCTGCTGTTTGGCTCAATATGTTTATATTGATATAATAATAATATCATATAATAAACATATATGTCTATATGTTTATTCTACATTTAGGTATAGAAAAGGCTCAGTTTCCTTTCCTCCAACCTTCACAGTCATCTTGAGCTCTCACAATAAAATTATTTCTGTTGCAACTGGAATTAGTGGGGATAACTACACTGGAAGGAGACTCCGTCTGGATCTGTGGGAATTGCAGTCCTTCAAAATGCTGGTGATAATGTGCAAAGGAAGAAATGACATGGCAGGAAGTAACAACATCTGCTGACTAAATTCAGAGTTGGGAGTTTCTTTTTGGTATATTGCATTGAGTTAATAACATTTTGCTAATGTTAGCATACTTTATAATTTGTTCAGATACCTTCTGCATTGCACTATATTAATCCTAAAAAGGTGACATATATGGTGGTAGCAAGGTGCAAATATACCACCTTACATGCTCCTTTCCTACATACCTGCACTAAAAATTTATTTAGAATTTAGAAAGCCTGAAGACTTCTCAATGATTTGTAGAGAATGAAGGAAACTGATGTCAATCTTTGGGTTTAATACTACTATTCTGATTCTTTCTCCTTCCTTCTTCTCTTTGGATTACCAGTTTGGTAGATTTTTAGAAATAAATACTTTTAGACTTACAAATATTTTTATGTACACAAATACTTCTATGACCATGCTGCCCTCATATTTCTTGACTCATTCCTCTAAAGCTTTTTCTTGCTTTACATCTCAAAAACTTGGCGTAGTAAGAAAAGTAAAACGAACAGTGTTTCTGTGGTCTATAAAACTAGTTGGTTGTTGGAGATCAGAAGATGTTCTAAATACATATGGGATGGGTCAGAGTGCATCAGGTAACAAGTACATTTAGTCCCACATCCTATTCCAATTTAGGAAGGAGAATGAGATTGGTGTAGACAGATATAATTCATTAACACACTTCATTCTTAAACTTAGGGCTTTCAAAGCTCAGTGTTACTTATAACATATGTCTAATAACTCTAAATTCATCCATTCTCTTCTTGAAGCCATGTAAGCTTCTAAATCAAATCAACTGAGAGAATCTTTTTATATGCTCCAATGACCAAGTGTAAAAAGAAGCAAGTGACCAAGTGGGAAAAATACACTATAAATATTTAACTTCACTTATAAAATATACAATGCATAGTTATATATAATTTGAAAATAAGTCATAGCATTTTAATAAAATAAATTTACAAAATATTGATGTCACCAGTGAATTTGTTTTATACAATGTTCTTTTGGCTCTGATGTTTCCAAAGAAATCATTCTGTAATCTGAAATTAGCACCACTTAATATTTAGGCTTAACAAATAAAACCCAAAACATGCCTTGTCCTAGCATTTTTAGAATTTATATCTCAGAAATGTAGTATATAGAATTGTAAACACAATGCATTCAGAGCCTGTGCTGTATGGAGCTGGCATTGATGAGAAACAAGGTAAGAGCCAGTGCCGGCTCTACATGAATAGGATGTTAGAGATTCAATAATGCTACATATAGCATGAGAAAATATCTGATTATAAGGTTGCCAATGACCAATTCATCTTAAAACCTTAAAGGGTTGATTCAGAGATGAACTGAAAATCTCAGGTCCTGAAAGACTCTTGTTTATAAAACTTCTGAACTCCTCACAGCTGTCACAGTCATTTGGTTCAAGTAATGCACATTTGGGACAGTACATAAAACATTGCCAATGTTCAGGAACACAAGTTGCTCCTCACAAAGACAAATTTTACTGTAGCTTTTTATCAGCTTTATAAAGTGGCAACAACTATTATATTGTCCATGGTGTTGTTTGAAGTACACTATCAGTTTAAAAATAAACGTATGTACTTAGATGTTAGTGGAAATATGGTAGTGGTTGTTGTTGTTGTTGTTGTTGTTTTTGCAAATTACTGAGGCCTGGTATCACCATGATTCCAGTTTTCCACATGACATTATATATCACAATATAAGACTCCACTACTTTATCCTGGAGACTTTCCACAAGTTTTCAAAGCAAGTAGCATTAACCCTTCAGTTTAAAAACAAAAGCCTGAAGCTATGGATAAAAAATTTGCACAAGTAAGTTGACTCGAAATTACAGACGTAGCCAAAAATATCTGAATGTGTTGTTAGGAAACAGAAAACTCCTTTTAGCACATGCCAGACATCCAATCACTGGTAATAAAAAACCACAGAACCCATAAGTGTAAGAAATAGAGAAAAAAATATCAGTTAAAATATCTTCCAGCTCTTTGAAGAATTTCTCTTGGTACAAAGAGGGTAAAAAATTGTTAGACTGCAATAAAATGCATTTCAGTCCTGCTGGATAGTCCATAACTTAGTTAAGAGCAGCTAAGAGCAAGCTGTTTTCTTGCACCAGCCTTCAAAGGACTAAAGAACCTCCTCAAAAGCACCTTCCAGAGGTGACTTCTGTGGGCCCCCTGCCCCTCCTCTTTGTTCCCTGGTGCACCAGCCACCCTTGTCCTACATGTAGGAAATGAATCCCTTTCCTAGAAACCTTGGAATTTTGCTTTTTGGGGCAGAACTGATTCATTTAGCCCTTTGTTTTCTGTCTCAATCCACATCAAACTCATCTCTACAGGGGGAAAAAGGAGATAGTCAAAGAAGTGAATTATGTTGTCTGGGCATTCAGCTTCACATTCCTCTTCTGGTCCATTCAAGCTGTCTGTTTTCAGGCAAGAATTTAAAGTGGTTCACATGTGCCAAACCTATTCAGAATTCAACTGCAACACAGCCTGATCTCTTTCTCGGTATTATCTCTTGATCTCGGCCCCTGTATTGTCTCCAACTTCAGAAGAGTGTAATTTTTCTGCTGACATTTTCATAGAAACTTGAGAGATTTTTAGATTCTGAATGTTCTTTGCCAGTACACAAAAAAGGAGAATGCTGGCCTTTCAATGGGGAACATGACAAAAAGACAAGCTATTTGTGAATTTGTCAGGGGTTTCTGGTCAGGAAATTGTGTATTTTGGGCAAACAGCTCTCTCTCTAATCTTTAAACTCAGAACATAGAAGGTGAGGCACTTGAAACAGAGTCCATGCAGAGATATTTAGTATAAAAATTGTGGGATTTTTACCATTTGGTCAGGTATTATTTCTAAAAGCTTTTTTTTAATTAAAAAAAAAAAAAAGGAACTCTCTCTTGTGGAAATTTTTATGCTTATTTAGATTATTATAGGGTGCTGAATATATTAGTACTCTGTGCAAGAGAGTATTGGATTTATTTATGTTGTGTGGGCTAAACATGCATTAGAAAAATGCAGTAAAATTCTGTGAGATGTTGAGGCAAAATTGCCTTGTACACATATAATAAGGGTATCTTAAATGGAAATTTGCTACAAATTGATTATGGTAAAAAATAATTAAGTAAATATGATAGTATATATGTCATATTATGCAAAATGAAGTAAAAACAAATTAAATTTCTATCTTTTGGTGCAGTAACTTGCCATATGTTGTCTGAAACCTGTTGAGATTTTGAGATTTGACTATTATAATTCAAATGAAGAGAAAATTAATTCACCAGAGACACTAACAAAAGGTTTGGCCCTGTATTGCTTATCTACAGTATCTAGCTCTCTCAAACTTTTTATGAAACTGCAGCTGATTCAAAACATTGCATTAGGAAAGAGTAAACTCATTGATTTCAGTGAATTATTATTTTTCTCTTAAAACCAAGAATAAAATGATTGTGTTAATTATACTCTACCTATTAGAAAATCCTGCCTTATTCATTTTGAACACACAAAAAGGGTTTTTCTAAGGACATGCATTAATATTTTATGCTCTCTGTGCATATCTTTTCAAGATTCAAGGCATTTAGAACATTTCATCTAGCTTTTTTCATTTACTAACCTCAAGATATAATAAACTTCTATGTAATGAATTCTGAAAGCAAGGCTAGAATACAACTTTGGAAGTCCAGTACACAGAAACAATAAGCTGCAAACTAAGATGTTCATAAATTTTTGAAGTAGACAAATCCCAGATATATGGCCTGGCTGAAGCTCATCCTCTTTGCTTTAACCAGTCATTATTTCTCAGTAGCAATTACTCAACGTGTCATTCTATACTGCGTGAATTCTAATCAATTACAAGTGATTGCATATCAGTGTGCATCAATCAGAAGATAATTCTTGATTCAATGAGATGCAATGGGTGATGTCAATTATGTTTTGTTGATGTTCTTTGATTGCATATTCTTTTGCAAATACTGTAGCACCTGAATTGTAACACGCTGACTAACCTCGCTATTCTACATTTCACAGGTTACGTCTAAAGTTACGAATTTGAACAGAAATAGTAAAACATCACCTGTACAGTGCATAAAAATTAGCAATAATACCAGAACATACTATGACAGATTGCACTAAGACATGGAGGGATGATAGGATCCATTGGCATATAGTGTGAGGAAAAAGGAAGAAAGTATCATTTCTGCTTTTCTTTTCCTTCTTTTTCCTTTAAATGAAATGTAAGTCAGGTTTTTGGCTTCTTTTTTGGCATCATCTGGTTCCATAAGCATGTGAAGGCATTGTTTATGCAAGCTTATCCTAAAGGAGTGTGTGTGTATTTCTCATTGAAGCCTTACATGTGCACTTCACATCTACATTTTATACACTTAATCCCATGACGTTCATCAGCCTAATACCAATGGAGGGTAGGCTCAAGCTGTGCCAGTCTTATGAGAACAGCCCAAGTGTATTATCCACAGCTCCTGAAAATGCAAGCTCTAAATGAAGGAGGTTCTTCAGTCTTCTCTCACTCAACAACAGACTTAAGGATGCTTGAGCTAAGCAAAGGCTACTTATCAGGCCAGGGAGAAGTACTACAGTGTGTACGTGCAGAGATGTTTCCTCATTATTTATTTTCTTATCCTAATTCATTATTTGAGGACATGGAATAACAAGCTTAACAAGCCTTGGGTTTTCTTTAGGTAACTTCCTTTGGCTGGATGAAATGGAGCCAAAGACATGTTGTGGGTTTACTGTTTTAGTGTGACATGTGGGCAAGAGAACTGTAGTCCAGAAGCACAGAGAGAAGAACCATTATGTACATTGATCCAGAGGGAAGTCAAGATAATCTGGTTGCTTGAATAGTAGTCACAGATGAGTAAATTACTACTGTCTTTCTAATCATAACTGAAGGGTAGAAGCAATGCATAGAAGCCAGTGAAATCTACTTCAGTGCTTATTCAAAGAAAAACAACCTTGAATTGGTGTTGTACACTGAGAGAGTGCTCTTACAACCAAACTGATGGCTATCACCAAGTAAAGCCCAAATGATTGTAAGTTCCTTCCCACAGCAGGATTTATTCAGAAATTAGTCTTTATAGTAGGTTAATTTTTCTTAATATTTGTGAAAAAATATTCACTATACAGAGAAAAGACGAATCAAATAGATTTTAGACTGAGAGAAAAGCAGAGGGAAACAAAAATGACTGACATGTCAAATGCTGCCATAAAATCTGTGTCTTTATATAGGTTAAACATTCTGTAAAGAGATGGTAAATTACAAAATTAAATGGGAGATAAGGACGATCAGCAGATGTAAGGGCTGAAGTCCAGAGCGTTCCTAAAAACACAAAAATAATACCTTCTTGCCAGTACAGTTGGTACAGTTTGTACTTCTGTCGCTCTGGGATAGAGGAACAACACCACAGGCCTTTCCAGATGACTGAAACACAAACAAGTTATATAATATAATGATGTAATATTAATATGACATAGAGGTTCATGCAGGCAAAAAGAAGACCTCTTCAGATGACTGGTTTCCAAAAATTAATTTCTTGCTGAATATTGAGAAAGTCTGGCACTCATACTAATGTTCTTACTCTTGTTTCCATCATGAAGGGATCGAATGCAACTTCAGGATTGAGAAGGAAATTTGAGACAGATCCCGCAAAACCCATGAGCACAAAATATTCCCAGCTATGAGGAGAACCCCCAATTTTTCAGTCTCTAATCAATAACCTCTATGATGCACAAAAAGCAGGAAATAAAAATTGTAAAAACATACTGAAAGTTCTGGCACAAGAAGCTTGGTATCAACGTCAACAACTGTGCTTCACTGATCCTGAAGTCCTGAAATAAGCCAGACTGGGAGACCACTGTAGCAGAGGCAAGAGCAGAGTGAGTTAAGCAAAAGTCAACCAGGCCTTTTCCTAAATATGTTTTTGTATCTGCCGCTTCTAGCATCTATAAAAGTTAATTTATTTCTGCCAAAAATATCTATTCAACAGATTAAAATCTCTTTGTGGGAAGACAATCAGAACTGAGTAAGGAAAAGTTTTTGAGGGCCAGTGAGGAACCTGTACTGAAACTATCTGCTGAATCAGCTCTAACCTGCAATGTCTGAGCTCTACTAAAAGGCTTATCACTCTCAATCTGTTGCTCCTTCCACCAGTGAATTATACAGCATGAAAAAGCAAGAGTAAAAACTGAGACCTGCAAACAATGACAGAAGTCTTTCGTGTATGCAGGCAACCAGTCTCAAGCTTTTGACTTAGACCAAGCAAGTCTTGTCCTGCGTGTCTAGTAAATTACAGGGTAGTTTGGTGTGGCTAATCTCCTTCCCCTTCATTTTGCATTTTGGGAAGTATCTTCAAGCTTTTTTTCTCATTTCAAGTTTTATGATAGATCTTTGACTGGGCAGCAACTATGAAAGATGATTTTACAGCCATCTAAATACTGTCATGTGGCCACTCCATTTGGCCATGGAGTGTGTCTGCAGACTGAGCTGATTATGGCCTCCACAAAAGGTCAAAGGAATATTATCTGGGAAAAATGCAATTAATCCTCCTGTTCTCTAGCATAGTTCTTATCAGATTGGAGTAGTTTGCTTCTTTGGCATTGGATGGATGGAGAGTCCCTAGACAGAAGTGAAAGTTAGTGTTATAAAATGAATTAGAAAAATCTAACAAACACTCAGTTTGTCTCCAGATTATTAAGAGACAAAAACAGCAGGGCAGGAAAGTTTTCCTCATTTGCCAGCAGCCAAACTGTGGCCAATTTGGATCTTTTTCTTCTCTGATGGAATCTCTGCAGTCATATTTCAGGCTTCAAAATCACTTAATTTTTGCTTTGTAAATGCTTATTTGTGCCTTAAATGTGCTAAATGAAGCACTTTCAAAATAAGAGAAGATTTACAAGCCTTAGAGATAATCACAATGACTGGTGCTTTGTCCAGGAGAGCTGGAAATTCAAATGAATTATTGGAAACATCAGTTATTGGACATGACCAAAGAGAGCACAGCCAATGGAGTGACTCCAAATCCTCTTGCATAATGGAAAATATTTTATAGCCAGTTCAAAACGTGAAAGGGTAAAAGTCACACTAGGCTCACAAGCATGTTAAAACTTGCTTACTCTGAGTTTTGTGTTTCTGAAATGAAGCACTATAATAACAACCAAAGGGTAAAAATCCCCATGTTCCTTTGAAAATACTTTGAAAATAGCTCAAATTTTTAATATGTACTTGATCTAGGATGAAACTTCTCTGTGTTTGTGTGAAGACATGAGTGCTATTTTTCCTGAAAAGCAGAGGGAAAATTTTAACTACGTTTTCCCCAGGAGACGAAGTCTCGCTTTTAAAAGACAGTAGGATTTCCAACTTTTTATGTCTGTCATTCATATAAAAGCTAAATAAATCAAAATCATTAACTAAACATGTCAAATTTTGTATGTTCAAGGCAATGGGATTTTCAGCAGATCTCTTAGCCGTACATTAAATGTATCATTTCTCCCTACCAGCCTCATACTCCAGAATACATAGTAACTGGTATCAAGAATCTTGAACATTTTACATATAATTAAACAAGTGACTCTGTCAGCAGGGAAATCTCCATTGAAGTGAGGATCTGATCACACTAGCAGTTAATTTTGCAAATGTTTTCATGAATAGAAAAGCTTCTGGTTATGCAAGCCTCAAAGCTGCTTCTATTCAAGTCACTGGGACTATTGGAATCAATGAAACTTCAGCAGAAATAGAATCTAAGTCATTATTTGAGCCTCCAGCAATTCTTGAAATGCTAGTGTCTTTTTCCTTTCTGTAAAATGAACATTTTGGAAGAGTGAAAAGTCAGTAATTTAGACACACAAACTGGATAAAGATTTTATATTACAAGGAGCTGTCCTAGTGGAATTTCATGCACTTGCTGACCCACAGATATAGCAGACAGTGTATTTACTTGTTCAAAACTAATGTTGATTTTAAGAAAGCAGTACATTATTTTAATGAACATCCACATTAAAAATTCTCCTTGCTTTATAAAGATCAGTTTTCCTGAGATTGTAATGAAAATTGTAAATGTTGATCTGAAATGGAAGCATCAATACTTAAAAATGGCTGAGGTAGTTTGTTTTTGATGGGGCATTGCTGAGGTGAAAAAGAATAGTATTTCTCCCCCCATAATTTCATCTTAGGCAAGTGAGCTAAAACCCAGCAAATAAACTGGGTACAAGGTTCTCCATGCTTGTCAAAATATGGTGGCAATTAAACTAGCATCTATTCCATACCTAATTTTTTTAAGGAATATATTTTTCAAGGTTTTGACAGTTAAAAACTATTTCGATTATTTATGACATTTCCAATGAGTTAGTAACATTTTTTTATTGCATTGCATTTTGCATAATATAATTTGTCACTACTTCTTTATTAAGCTTGTTTTATATTCATAGTTGTCCCACAACACTATATTTTCCTCTTTGTCAGCTCAGAACTTCATTATGAAGGATGAGGTTTTATCGTTTCCAAGTGATGCAAATGTCTACAGTGAATAAGTGTCATTATGCAGGAACAGAAATTTAGTTTTCCTCCATTAAGCAGCCAGGCTAATGACTCAACAAGTTTATAGCACACCACAAAATTTGATAGCTTGGTGTGAGTTAAACAAATGATGGTTACATATTTATATGAAAATGAAAGTGGCTTTTTGGAGCCTGATGTTGTATTTTTCTCATTTACAGCCCAGAATTTTCTTTTTAATTTAAAGAAGGGACATTCTCAGTTACAACTTAAGATGAGCATGCCTTCTGTTTCTTATGCCTGACATGGCTCCAGTACAACAACACCATCATAGAGAAAAAAAAAAAGAAATCTATTTCAGGGCCAACTTTCAAATCCCATTGACACCCACAGAAACATCCCCATTGAATGGCTTTGAATTCTTATTATTTCCCATTATATGTGGAGGGGAAAAAAGCTATTCATAATAAATATTACATCCAGCTGAATATGATATATGCCATATCCTGAGCAATGGAATGTTTCCATCTGGGTATGACACCCACTGAACACTTTCTCTGTCCACTTTGCCAGTGGACAACTATATGGGCAAAAACACTGCCAAGCTCTTTCTTTTCTTTATACAATCAGTTTTAAGTAATTAACAGAATGTGTGAAAATGACCTATTGGCTGTCTAATTCATCTCCCCTCCAGTACAAATTTGTCCCCACAGTACATTTTTTCAATGCTTTGCCTAATCTAATTCCAGATATTCAGCATTTCCCATTGGAGACTGTTTCTCAGTTAAAGGGATCATGCTGTCAGGATTCTTATTCAGATATTTAGCTAAAGTTTAATTTTTCCCTAATTTCTGTCTATTTCTCCTAGGGCTAGATTTCTGGCTGCCATAAACTGTCAGAGTTTCCGTAATTTCCTTTGGGTTTGGGCAACGTTCATGAGCTGACAATCTGGTAAAGGTTTTCCCTTCTTACTGTGTTAACAATTCTTTTCTCCTCTGCTACATTACACTATTAATCATCATGCTCACACTTACTCATTGCATCTTTAATAATGCTTTCAAATACCGCTTTCTAATACCTTATTTCTTGCTGTGTCAATCATCCCATTCCATAATTCACTTATTAATCCATACTTCATACTTGAGATTAAAATCAGCTGCTAAACTAAATAAGATTTCTCCAAAGACATGGTAAAACAGCCACCATGATCATATGAGAGGATTTATACTGAGAGCAATGAGGTAAGATCCTAGTTGTGATAAACTATGTTTTTGTTTTCAGATAGAAGCAAACAGAAGCAATAGTATGATAAGTTGTTCTTGAAGGTTTTTTTTTTAAAGTACAAAAATTCCTCTGTTTTACATCTGAGTATTTGTAAATGAAAATGTGTTGCTGCAGAACAACTCTGTTCTTCCAGTGGTGCTTCCTACCTATGATCTGCTGTATGCACTGACATAGACTCAGATTACTTGTTGATATAAAATTACCACCTCTCCACTAGTTCATAAATCCAGTAGTTCCACAACAGATGGAAAATTTTAAAATAGTATTGTAGAATCAGGCTGGGAATACATTGGCACAAACCGGTTTCATTACAGAAACCTGTTTGTGACAACCTTTGAAGGATCCTAGATTATCATTGACATTTTCTTCTTTTGTAGGCACTAACCAAATAATAATCAAGTTTGGAAGAGACCTTCAAGATCATTTAGTCCAACCATCAACTCAGTGTCACCTTTAGCACCCCTAAACCATATCCCCAAGTGCAACATCTCAACACCTCTTGAACGCTTCCAGAAATGGTGAGTCCGCAACCTCCCCGGAGGTAGAGAAATTAACTTTTGTTAACTTCTGGACTACCCTATCACTGCAGCAACCCAGAAGGGCAAACAAAACAAGGCAAAATAATCTTTTCCATTGGCAGAGTTCAGTCATAATGAGGTGATGCTTAAGAGATATTTTAGAAGTAGCCAATGTTTCCTATTCTAAATGAATCACAACTCTCCTGTGCCTCTAGACATGACAAACTGATCTCCCTGAAACCAACAGTCTTTGACATTTCCAAATCCAAATCCAAATAGCTAAGTTTTGCTCTACCAGTTCTGAGCTCATTTGGACGAGTAGATACAGGCTGTTTTTTCCCAACAATTCTTAGAAAGTGACAAAACAAGAAGCTTCTGAGTATTGTTGAGCACACATTTAGTCTTAGCTGTATCTTGTTCAAGTCACTTGACATGTTGCCATGGCCCAGGCCTGTTTGATCTATTATTGCTCATGCCATCTATCATGTTTTATAGTCAGGACTTGAGAAGATGACACCTATTGATGTAGGAGTGTCTAGGAGACTGTCTCTTTGAAGACCCCCCACTGTGTTGTAAAGAGCCCATTGTCAAACTGACACATTAAAGAAACTTGAGCCCAGCAGTCAGGCACTAGTAATATACTGAAGCCTGGAAAAATGGCCAGGCATCACTGTTATGATGTGATAGGCCAACCTATTTTGAAAGTCAGAAGTAGACTGAACTTTTAACAAAGCACTGATGCATCATCAAACAACATGTGATGAACTTTTCTGTATGTGATAAATATCACTAGCAGGATCTTGGAGTTTACATTACTTATTAGAAATACTGCACAAGCAATATCTATAAATGATAACTCTGTGTAATTCAATGATGCTTGAATGCCCTGATAATACTTATCTCTAAACTAATACTTACAGAGGTTCATCCATAACAGGAGTTACTGTGATGGTATCAAGGCAGAACACAATTCTGAGCTATGTTCATGATGAAACCACGTACAATTACTCTTTGGTTCTATGAACATCTTCAGCCATTGTGCCATTAGTGCTGGGATCCCAAATAGTAAATCAAGGGTTTGAACAATGTGCTTTTAATGGATATTCATGGCATTGAGAAGTACCTTAGATAAAATTTCAAACTATTGGTTCAGTAGCTTCTTGTAGCGGTAGACCATTTGATCATGTTCCAGACTGTAGGCTTAGATCAGTGACATTCTTTTTTGCAAGAGTGGAAATAAATCTCCCAGGTAGAACACATAATGTTAGTTTTTATGGAACGAGAATAAAAGCATGCACTAGTTCAGTTAGTTCTACATATTAACAGTCATGAAAATGAGGTTTGTGGCCTCAGGCGCTGAATTCAATCACTTCATCTTTCCATACAGCAACCCTATTTTTGCTTCCCTCTGGGCACACACTCACAGGGCAATCATGCTGAATTCTCAATTCAAGTATGAATGGTTAGCTAAGCTTTTCTCTCAACAAACCATGTTATAGAAAATGTAGGGAAAATCAGGCAGTGACAGAAAGCACAAAAGCTAGATTTTGTTAATATAATAGCTCTAGGGTTTGAAATAAGAAAATCAAAAAGAGCTGATCAAGCCTAATCCACGATACAGAAGGCATGCTTGATGCCATCTTCTAACAGATGTTACACACCATGTGTGAAGAGAGGAATGGTTCCACCTCTATAACTTAAAGTCAGGGGTCCAATAACGAGGTTGAAAATGCAATTAGATTTTTTCTTATAAGTTTTAGAAGATAGATTACAGATATGCTAGAACCGATGAACTGGGGAAGGTAATTCCAATTCAGGAATTCACTTATTGAAATATAAGTGAAACATTTCCACTGATGATACTGTCCTGGGCTGGCAAAGATTTCAGTTTCTTTTTTCAGAGTCTGATTTGCTTTTTGTATGACTAAAAGGACATATATCTTATCACAAAGTTTTATCATTAGATGATAAACAATACTGTCATGTTGGGTATCAAAGAGGTAGGAAGGGAAAGTAAGATTTGAGGCCCTAAAGACTCCAGGAAGGACCTGAAAAAAAATCCTCATTGACCTTTGGCAGTGTGCCAGATTCACTTCAGCAGTAACATAATTATTTTGAACATGTGAGAACAAAACGCAACCTTAATAACACATTTTTATGTGCTTTAAAAATATTACAAACTTTCTACACATACTATTTCTTAACTTCAGTGGGGTTTTTTTGTGTTGCAGAATTATTGTGTCCATTTTACTGATTGAGAAATCAAGGTCTAGAGAGACAGTTTGATGCTTTTCAGACATGCAGAGCTTCTCCACCCAAGTGAATTGTTGTCTGTTCTCTTCCCCTAGGTCAAGTGTTCAGCTCATTAAAATGTTCCACCATCACAATTCACTGACCTTATGTGTAATCTTTGAAGAGGCTAATAACTTATTTAACACTAGCATTGATCTGCCAGGTATGATCTCTTTGAGTTAGAAGATCTATAAATATGTCTTAATTGTTCAAAGGGCTTAATTAGCTAGTGCATTACTGCAGTTTTATATTGATGTAATATTATTTGATTTAAATGAGATTACTACAAATCACACAGTGATTTAGTATTTACTAGCCAGTCTTTCAAGAACCTCAGAATCATCAGACTCTCTTTCCAAAGGTGCTGCTGCCAATGGGCTGCATGAATGTCATCTAGGGCTTATGGCTAGTCAGCATTTCTGTATCTTGGCATGCTGTTGTGAAAACTGCATGTACACAGGTCTAGATCAACATACAGGTACAAAAATAACAAGGTGCAAAAATAAATCCACACAAGGAACTTGATACTGGTACACACACATACATCTCCGGAAATCTAACCTCCTAAGATAGTCTCTCCTTCTAAAATCTTTAGGAAAATGTAAATTATGGAGGTCGCTATTCTTTTCCTGCTGCCTCCTGTGTGAATAGTCAGAAAAACAGTATCCAACTTACCTTTGACAAAACTAAAAATATGTGATTGTATTCATAATTCTCATAGTTTAATTAATTTTCATGGGAATATTTGCTACTTAAATATTATGCAAGCTGTTCGTAGTTTAATGACTGTTTGCTCCTGCTCACAAAATTTCAAGGTTAGTGAAAGGTCAAGCTGCACTTTACTGAAGAAGCCAGCTATAAATTTTACTAATGTATTTCATCATGTGATGTTTTTCTGTACTTATTGGTGATTGTTCTGGAGTAGAAAAAGGTTAGCTGAGCATATATGATATGTTGATTTCTCCTGAATTTGAATTTACTTTTTTCTTAGATAAAATAAATGTATTGTTACTTCTTTACATCTCTTTCCTATTGTTATATTTGAACTAAGTTCTTGCTTATGTGTAATGAAATTGATTTAGCCTGATGGCAATTAATAAAATAGATTTCCTTCTGGGAACTTTGGTTGCTTCTGGTAGTTTCCATATTTATGTGTGGTGAGCAGGTTTTGTTACCTCTTTGCTAACCGATAGGTTTTTGATTTTTAATTTTTTCATGAAAACCTGATTCTTGATTAAAAAGAATTCATCTTTAGTCCTATCTGCCAGCTGAGTAGGAGACACTTGTTTACTTGGTAAGGGTGGGATACAGCAAACTGAGGCTTTGGGAGCTTGTGTGGAGGGCATCAGAAATGGCTTCAAGAAGTGTGGGAGCAGCAATGGTGGTTATGGGCCAAAGTGCTCAGTCCCTCAGTGCTTGAATAATAAAATCAGCCCTGGAAAACCAGAAACCCTTTTCCAGGCTTAGCTCTAGAGGGAGGCTGCTGCTTCACAGATCTTAGGCAGCATCAATCTCAAGTAGCTTAAGAGCTTTGTTATGAAAACTGAAAAATACAAACCCCCCTTTCTACTTCATTGAATGGAAGATATCCAAGGAGAAAAACAAAACAAAACAAAACAAAACAAAAAACCAAACAAACAGCCCCTAAATTGATCAAAGGATGAGCAGGCAGTAATTAATTTGTTAACTCTATTTTCAAATCCAGAGATATGTTTGTCTGAAGTGTTACTCTTTCATATGGATGTGACAAGCCAAAAGATATATTGCAAAGTACAATATGTTGCCATCCTGCATCTTGCAAAACTAATTCCAAATTAAAGTCTACTCATGCCATCACCTGGACATGATTAAGAGACAACAGAGAGAGGTAGCCAAGATGAGAAATGTCCCTGAGGCAGATGCTCTCTTAGTGATGGAGCATGGACAGACTGATTTTTCTGCTAGATTCTTTATGTGCACTAGATTTCAGGGAGTTAAATCCTGAAGAGAAGCAGGAAACATTAATTTGCTAAATGTCCCTTTGGTTTGTCTGGTTTTCATCTCTGATTGTTGTTCAATGGTTCAGGACCAAGTTAATTATTTTAGAATAATGGTTACTTTATATGCATGGTAAAATACTTTAAAATCTTCTGCAGACTATTTTGGATACTAATGGTCATGCATTTTCCCACTAGGAATGTTGATTCAACTGACCATTGTGATTATAAAGAGTCAAAATTTTTGATCGAATCAATAATACAGAGGTTGAACTATTTCTCAATACTATTCACTAAATAATCAATGTCACATTATGACCTGTCAATTGTACATGAATTATGGAGAATTAAAATACGCCTTGATAGGGTATGCTATAAACACCAACACAAGCTGCAATGTAGCAAGAACATATCCACAGCACAAGAAATGAGTCAAGTGTGAATAGAAATGTCTGAAGTTTTAAATTAGATTTCTGTTTTTTAAATAGTTACCTGGAATGCTGCCATCATTTTCACCAAAGGGTTTGCAGGATCTTTGCCTTTATAATTTGTATTAGATGTTCCAGCTCTAGGAAGAAAATGTTGACTAAACTTGTTTAGGAGGAAGAAAGATGTGTGTAAAGTTTAAAATAGTGGCAGTGTCTTCCATGAAGACACATGCTAGAAGCAGCCAGGTATGGGACCAGATCAGAGATTCCCATAGAAGAGATGCTGGAATAGCAGCATATGCCTACATGCTCACTGCCACAGCTCTGTGCAGCAGGTGCCTATTTATGTAATAGTAGTTCTGACCCAAATGTTCACTGAAAGAGCTCTTTGAATTTTTCCCTCAGCCACATGCACTGTATGCTCATGATCAAATGTTGTGGAGTTGGCCTTGCGCCCGTGAGAGCCTGTGAACCAGTGGAGTCAGGTTGTGGAAAGGTCCCCTTAGAACATTTCACTCACAAGTGCTTGCACTGCCTCAAGCAGAAAATCACTACCCTAACTACTGGCTTTTTGTCATCATTCCTAAGCAAACCCTGAGAGACCATTTTAGGTTTGTGTTTAAGGTAAAAAAGGTGTTAGCCTTGATGTGAAATGTTGAGCTGTATTCTCTAAAACACAGCAATCTTCATGCACTGCAAAAAAAGACTCTTAGGTTCAAAAAATCAAATGGATTACAATTAAATATTGTAATCTAAATAATTTCTTCTGGAAATCACTATACATAAGCCCAAAAGGACTTGAAGTATTTCTTATAACCAGGTTGTAACCCATGATAGTTTTTCTCATATTAATAGCACCTCATCTCTGAAAGAATATTCACCATCATTAATGGGCTGGGTTCCAGGCTTCTGCCATCATTGCATTTCTGATTATTGAGGACTCATAAAGATACATGTGCTGTGAATAATGAACCTAACTAGTCTTCAGCCAAACTTACGAAGATCGGAAATAGCAGATTTGGGTAGTCTGCAGAAATCTCTGTTATCTGAGATTTGAATATATTATTAAATTTTTAAATGTCCTTTAATTTAAGTGATAATTGAAACCACCGCACAGTTAAAAAAAACAATTATAAATATGTATGTTACGAAGTTTATAATTTTAATTAATTATTTGGTAAGACTTCAAGTGTGGGTTTTCACACAATACAAGACCTTTTGTATCAACTAGAAGTGGAAAAGATCACAAGTTGTATTTCTTTGTGCCTCACAATAACATTAGCTAAATAAATAGGTTTTTGCACTGAGATTTTGTTTAACCAATTCCATGGATTATTCAGTTGTGAAATTTAGATTAGGCTTCAAAGCAAACTTTAACTCATCTCCAGGCAGAGTAATTTCCTCTAGTGCTCTAGGCTAGTCAGTTAGAAGCATCCAATAACTATGGCATTTCTTATCCATGTAAACATAGCCTATTTAATAGAAAACAAGAAAAGCTGATGGGCATTGACTGTTCATCTTACCTATTAACTGCGAAACACAAGCCTTTAGTGGCTTTTAAAACAAGGCTGGTAAGTTTTTCCAAGTCTAAACGAAATATTTATTTTCTTCAGTATATCCATTTTAAAGGATTAATGATGATTTAGTAAATTAATTGCATGTGTCATTCACTGAAGATGTATTACATATAACTATATTAAAAAAATAGTTTTTCAGAGTAAGGTAAGTTACAGATCTAAGTTAGCTGACTGCAAAGATTTCAATTAGTTCCCTTGTGTCTATGGCATAGTATTTAATTACAAGATCACCTGTGACATTTCTCACAGAATAGATGATGACTAAGGAGCTATTCAACTCTCTTTTCCTTTTTTTCAATGTATGGCTCTGTTGCCATCTCCAGCAGTGTCCCAGGGTCTTAGACACCAGAGAAAGCCTTGACAGCAATGAAAAACAATGTCTCTTCCCCAGTCACAGCTTCAGGGATGAAACAGGAGTTTTGACTATAGATTAAGAATAACACATAAGGGGCTGCTACCTGTCATGAAGAATAGCAACCAGAATTCATGGAAGTTGGCAAGTAAAAAAGCAACAATGTCTCATGACTGTATGCAATGATTTAATAACAAACAGGACTATGAGTCCTTACTGCAGTCTGTTCTCTGTTCTCGGTATTTTGGTGCAGAACCAGTAGGGCCTGCAGAGAGGTTGTGGTTTTCTGACTTCCGAGCAGGAAGCCAGGTCATGGCTGAGATAATTAAGAGAAGCCTTTGAATGAGGCAGTAGACAAAGCTAAAGGACAGGGGTCTTTACCTTACTTGTTATGAATATCTTTACTGGTAGAGGAAAAGACTGAACCCCAGATTTTGCACCAGAACATTTGCTGGTTGATGTTTAAATAGGATCCAGAGTATAAAACATCTTTGAAAGCCAGTTGGAAATTGCATCTGCCACCATCTACTTGGGGAATCTTTGTGTGCCTTTAAAGCTATCTCTACTCAAGTGGAATGAAAAGTGTGCAGGTCAAAATTTTCACCAAATGAAAGACCTTAGCTGAGTTAATCGGAAATCTGTTTCCTGGAGGACAAGTATGTTTTCTTCTGATATATCTTTATTACAAAAGAACTAGGAGTAATGCCAATATCATAAAGACTAGGAAGCTATAATTAGAATGAATTCGTGTCAAAGATGCATCTGCATATTAAAAAGACAAGTAAAAGTATTTTTGTGTCCCAAATGCAACACAAGTGGGCTTGTGGGTGCTATTGGTCATCATAGCAGCAACATCTTATTGGATGAAAAGACATATAAGTCATGTATTTCTCAATCAAAAAGCAGGAAGATTGCATATCTTTGAAGTTTTGGGGAAAGAAAGTAGAAATGGGAAAAGTAACCAGGCAATCACTAAAACATACAGACAGAATCAAGAAGGAAGTTGGGCCACTGCTGCTGAATATTACCAGCAATTCAGCCACTTGGGTTTTTTAAATGACACATGAGCATTGTGAGCCATGGAAAAAGCAATTTGCAAGCATTGCATGAGGAAGATCATGCCTGATACCTCCCAGCCCCAGATCTGGGTGCACACAGAGATGCACAGGTTGTACGTTGTGTGCATGCAGATTGGCCAAGACATGTTCAAGTACTCCACAGATGGAAGTAGGCTCAGGTCAGATTAAATGTCCAGAAGACTTGAACCTAGTCCAAAGACCAAAGTATTGAAATAAGCCAGTTAAAAAGTAAAATTATTGAAAAAAGGAATGAATCAAAAATTATTTAGAATTTATATTTAGAATCCTAATTTAAGGAACAACAACAAGAATTATTTAGAATTTATATGTAGAATCCTAATTCAAGGAACAACAACAACAAAAAAATTAGACAAATGTCTTGGTTTATATTTCCAAGCTCTTAAACTTTTCTGGGATTCTGGGATGGCAGAGCCCCTCACGCATTTTTACTCTTGTATATGCACCAAATCTTCCCTTCCCTTCCTTCTCTACATTCTGGCTCCCCACTAACAAAAACCATCAAAAGTGGTTTATTTCCTATGTGAACCAACTTCTTCTCTTTTATTTATGACAATCTTTTGTAGATTTTTGAGGACAGGACCATGTTTGGGCCCATCTCTGTCTGTCATTTGTCTTAAAGCTTCAACATTACAGCCCCTAAGTTCACCTAATAATATCAAACTTAGCATGATAAAATCCAGTTGATCCCATCTGCCTTTGTTCTCTACTATCACCATCACTATTTTTGTCTCCATGGCTGCCTGAGAAAAGGAAATGTTTAGGCCCTATATTTGATCTTTTACTTCAGTCTTATGTCACTCTTGAGAAAAAATATTTTATTAGTATAATGCACTCTGTCCTGAACTAACTTGCAAGTGTAAGAGCTTTTGATGATGAATTTGCACAGTGATGGTAAGGAGATGCAGCTGTGGCTGTCAATGTATGAAAAAATAACAGATACCTGTATAAATTATTTTTTAAAATCCCACACAATCTAGCTATGTGCAAAGATATGAGAACACACTCCAAAACTGACTTTGTTTGTCTTCAGGAGAAAAATTTCCTGACTCAGCGAAAACATATACAAATTGCTCTGGAGAAGTAAAATTTTGATACAGACCATAAATACATAGTCTTGAAAATCCCAAAATGTTTTCATAAACAACTGAAAAGCTGGCTGACATTCTAAGAAGGACTGAAATAAACTGCTAATTAGTGTATAAATTAAATAAACTGTGATATCTCTGTCATCTATAGTGTTAATCAGAGGCTATTTAATTTTTTTTTTGGTTGATAATTACTCAGAATACCCTCACTGAACTGTTGTATCTGATTTCCAGTTCACATATCAAGTTTTGTAGACTTTCCACTTCTGCATCATCAGTCTTTCTTGAATCATTCAGTTCCTTCAGTTAATGGCTACCAGCATGCTGTACACGCAAGAATATTGTGTTATAGCTTCATTTACTTCCTTCCATGTCCTAGTCATTTTTAATTTTAGATTTTTCTAAATTCTTTTCTAAATTTGTGTTGATGCCTGGTAAACAAGCTGTGAAGGATCAGCTACCATTAACACAATCTGTCTATCCTGCACCAGAGAGCCCTTGCAGGGAATTTCCAGTGTGACACTGCAGGGTGTCTTGGCTTTTCGGAATGCTACAAAGCAAACTGTAAACAGTCTTCACTATGCCAGCACAACCAACAGCTTTGGTACCATTTTCGACTGAATCTGCTTCACAAAGATTCAGTGAATGACAGTTGTTTAGGAATAGTAGGCGCTGTTTACCATTTTGCTCTCACACATGTAGTTTCCCTGAAAAATTTTATGATTAATACAAATTAGTTGTATTAATCATATTATTCTGGTTTTCAGCCTTATGATAAGAATAATTCAAAAATAATCAACCTGTCTTTCCATTCCAACTTCAGTAGTTCTGAGAATGGTCCTCAGTGCATACCTTTTCTAGTCAATAGATTCATCATGACCCTCAAAGGCAACAAGCCTGTCTGATCTGCTTTCAAGTAAATATGACATAACATATTTCTGGTGAATTCTGTCTTGGAACACTTTCTGTTCAGGAGCTGACACTGATGACTCAACCTCACAGTCGCTTCTTGGCTTCACAGATAATCATCTTAACCCTCTTCAAGAATTGTATGAACATCAGCATATCTGGTTTTGTATTGTTCTCCATCACTGTACATGGTACATCTCCATTGCATGACTATCATGGATCAGGTGTCCTTTTCTGAAGACATACTTTTTTTCTCCAGGTTTTTTCCTCAGCCAAAGGTCTAGTTGGAACTCCCTAAATAAAATTGCCACGGTCATCAGAGAGTCATATAACCCAAGGAAGAGCACTAGTTTCTTAACATACATTTCATATGGGATAACATGGGAATGTGACCATCCTATTTCTTCATCATCACCTTAAGAGAATGATTCAATAACTGAAATCTGTTTTTTTTTTTTTTACTTGCCACATTTAAATACATAATGTACATACATTAGCTGAAGGACCCAGAACTGCTTACCATCTTGTGCGTCTCTACATATTTGAGCTTCAGCTTCACTCCAGCTCCATTTTGTGGTGGAGTCCCATACATCACCCTTTCCCTGAGCTCTGATTGTCTGGATAGGGAAGATTGGTATTCAGACAGTAGAAGTGTTTTGATACAATCCAATAAAATTCTCAGTTTAGATGATCATACAAGTCCAGCTCCTGAATGATCAAGATGTACATATCAAGCCACCCATTATCTGTACAGTTTAAACAGAAGCCATCTGCCTTCTTCTTTTGTAGTTCTGAAATATGTCCCAATTCAGATATTAAAACTGTAGTGGCAAGAGTGCAACATAACTCCTCTTGCCTTTAACAATATTTAAGTATTTCCTCCTGACTTACAAAAACAAGTTCAAAACTTAACAAATGACCCTAGAATTCATGCTGCCTTTTTTTTTTTCCACTACTCTGTCTAATATATTTGTCACCAAAAATCATTGTCACTTACAGGTTGTAGAAACCTTTACTTGATTTGGAGAAGTATACAAATGGCAAAGTTGAGCTGGGACCATTTTGCCATCAATCCTCTGTTCTAATTATGACATTATGAAGTATGAAAAGCTTTAGAAAACAAGCAGAATGCATTTTAGGAAGAGTGAACTCCTTTCCTTCCACTATGTCTGTATTTGGCTAACAATAATTTTAACTATAGAACAGTGAACACAAAACTTGTGCTCATATTTTATTGTTTGCATTGTAATTGCATAGGTTTTATGGTACTATTATTCAACACATTCAACTAATAGAAGCTTCAGATGCATAACCTACCTGTGATTTTACTTTAAATTAAATGTAGTAACTCAAATTTTTTCTAAATTCTTCTAGATTCTCATTTTTCATTAAATACATACAATTTTTCTAGATTCTCATTTTTCATTAAATACATACAATTCTTTAAAAATTAATAATGTAAGCATTTTGCAACTATTTGAGAATTTGGGTTATGTTGTTAAAATACTATGTAAATAATTAATATGATCAGACTAATATATAACTTTAGTGTTATAGGCACTTTTAAAATTTTGAGATTGCAATTCTACTACCAGAAATCTATAATCAATTGTCTTCAAATGGTTCTGGGTGACTGATCCTTATATAATGAATTACTCAGGAAATCGCTTGTTCTCGGAATACATTATAATACATAAAATAAATTTTTTCCTGAAAATTTCATTACTAAATTTTCTCCTGGAATGTGAAAGCTAGGTTATGTTTGCAATACTGTATGTGCTGTCTACAATGCAGAGAGAGGGCTCAATAGCTCAGTTATATGTGAAATATCTTCCTGAAAGATATGAAAATATGTATAATTTGTCTCACTGATATAGGAGCTACCCCTTCACTCTTGAGCAGAGCTGCACCTAGTGATAATGGGACCATTGTTATCAGGTGAAGATTTACCCCGAGGGCAATGTGCTGCCTTTGCTTTTCAGGAACCATTTATTGATTTCAGAGGAAATTTTCTGAAATATCTGAGAGTCTTATACAGTTTTTTCTTTAAAGTACAATTGACAACTTGGTGGTATTGAGCAACCTGGTTGTCCTGTGAAAAAAATAAGTACAGTTTTGGCTATTAGCTTTCATATGAAATTATACATTATGCTATTTAAAATACTCTTACATTTTGCTCATACAAACAGACAGAAGGCACCCATGGGATGACCCTGCTTTTTAAATACTTACCTAAATAGCTACACATGCCGCTGTTGTTGCATGTACTTTGATGACCTGCTTATCTTGATTGAGTAAGACTAAGGAGAAGGAAAGACAAAAAGAGAGGGGGGGAAAAAAAAGAAGAGTGGGAGGAGCTGTGGGTGGGAAGATGAAGGAAGTGTTCCGGGCTAGCCAGGTAACACCCACTGCTTTCGGAGTGAGCCAAGAGCTCCCTGAAGAGCCACGTGAAATGGGGAAATCTTTTGATAAAATGCAGCCACACCACTGTGATAACATGCAGTATCATGCAACCAAGGACAAGCAGATCAGAACTCCTGTGAGAGGTCTGCCAGCCAATTGCCCCAAATTTCCAGTTATTAGTGAATATTGGATGGCTTAGGCTTTGAGGACAGATCTTAAGCTCCATCCTTTAAAGAAAGTAGATTTCAGAGAGAGTTAACACTCAGATGCAGTAATAATTGATGTTTTGGCTCACCCTTGAAAATCTTTGCTGTAACATGTCTGTCTCTTTTACTTCTGTAAAACAAAACCAGCATTTATTTGATCAGGTTATTCTGAAGATTGCCTAATGCCTCGAAGGTTCTAAAAATCTCATAAACAAGAAGCAACCCTGCATGACAAGTGATAGGCAGTGCACCCACCTTTTATACCTGTAACTTATTGTTTACAAGTCTGATGATCATAGGGTTTTCTGAAATGCTTTCTGCTGTGGATTAACCCTGTAGGCAGCCAAACACCACACAGCTTTTATCGCTCTCCCTCTGCAGTGGAATGTAAGAGAATAGGAAGGGCAAAAGTGAGAAAACCATGGGTTGTGTTAAGATGCTTTAATACTCAAAAAAGACAAAACAAAACAGAAAGAAATGAGGGGCACAAAAATCTGTTGCTCACTACTGGTAGATGAGCATCCATCCTGAGCAACAGCAATCTGGCAAAACTCCTCCTCATGACAGAAGCTAAAATTAAGTAAATTATCTCTACTCAGCCAAAGCTAGTACATTTATCCAAAAAGAATTAAATCCCACATACTTGTACGGCTATCTGAGTACAAATCCATACAGTATTTGCAAATAAACATCATGAATTCTCTACTAACATTGGTGCAGTGAGCATTAACTCATGCAAATTCTAAGAAGTACAAAATAATGTCTAGTGGAAGGAATTCTTTACCTTATTTGTACTCACTGATGGGTTCAAAAATATCCTGAAGGAGATGGTGAAGCTTAATGACAATTACACCTTACACTTGCAAAGGAATATAGGCCTAAGAAGTGAGACAAAAGTAAGTACTAGAAGATGCTTTAACAGCAATAGTGTTTCCTTACTCGTACCACTGGCAAAAAGCTGTCCTTAAAAATGTCAAGAACTTATGTTGGGTTTAACAGTACCAGAATCTTGGTCATTGGGTTATGTTTCTAGAAGAAAGAAATAGTATTCAAAGATAGGAGATGAAAATGGTTACAGACTACACACAGTTTCTAAGTGACTGAAAAAATCAGGATGATTTGATCTGCTTAATTTTAAAAAATCAAATAAAACCAGTAAAAAACTTCCCAAATAAACAAATCAGACAAAATATATTTGATTCAGCTAAAGCAAAAAGTGTTGTTCAGAAGGTCAATAAGAAGCTTCTATTCATCCTCTAACAATACAAGAACAAAAAAGTTCTGATGAACTAGAAAAGCAATACAATTTTGCACCATTTGCAATTAACCTGTGAAATTGCCTGTCATGAAATATCAGTGCACGTGAGAGTTTAAGAGCTTTTGAAAAAGAGATGACATTTCATCTGAGTAATGAGAACATCCACAGTTACTTTGGCAAAAAAAAGAATTAATTTGAACAGGACACTAACTTTCTGCATATTAACCAATTTTCATCTAAGGAATTGAAATAATTTTTGTCTGAAAAGATCTTTTAAAGAGTCTCTCAGCATTTCACAGATAATTTTGTAGTGCCCACAGCTAGTCAGACACTGTGACTACAATTGTGCGGTGTTTCTTAGTGACTAGATGGTCCACTGGCAGTGTCTTGCACTCATTGTATCCAGAGATCAAAGATTTCCACACTGTGAAACATTTTTTTTTAAATTATTATTATTCTTGTAAAGCACACAGATCCCTTCTGAAAGACTTTCCAGGCTCTAATTTGCTACTGGTTTTAACTTTCTAGTATTTTATGGATTCCAGAATTTAATTAGACTTGTATATGGTAGAATTAGTCTACCACTTACCATTAGTCTGAGAGCTTTTCCAGAAGCTGGAAAGTTCTATTCCAGAGTCTTAATACATGCAAGATTTTGGTCTCAGTCTCGCTTCCTGCTTATTACAAGAAAAATAACATTTCATTTTTTCTTATCAGTACAATTCACTATTTTACCTATTGTGTCTCTTATATTCTTTGACGTGACTTTCTCCTGTAACTATTCTTACTCTAAACTTTTTGTTATTGAGCACAATGCTTTATTCAGTCCACTCTCTTTCCATGTTATTTCATTGTCTGGTTGTTTTGTGAGGAATGGTAAATGTGAAAAACTGTTCATTAAAATAATCTTTTCAGTTCCTACATGCTTCACTTCTACAGATACACACACACACACACACATAAATACAGAGACATGCATTGTACTTGCACTTATCAAGATAAAAAACCCCAAAACTTTCATAAATCTGCTCTATCCCTACATAGAAATGTTAAGGTGTCTTTTCTTAATGAAAACTAAGGGTAGGGAAGAGAAGTGAGAAAGGGAACAAAAAGGGACTTTTTACAAATTTCAATATTTTCCTATTGAGCAAAAAACAAAAAGGGTTTCAGACAGTGAAAGACTCGAACAAGCAGCCAAAATTACTGATGTCACACTGCTTTTCCTTGTTGAAACTAAAGTATCGATCTTTAACCTTTCATTTCACAAATAACTGACTTAACTGTAACCTTTTGAACTGTTCTGGAAATGGTTGTCTACCAATTTAATCCAGTAAAATAATTTGAATAGCTAACTAGCTAACAGAATGGAACCAAGCCTGTAAGTGGGGTTAGGATACTTGCCTGTTGCACAGGATGACTGGAAGCTTCTGATTATGATTCCATCTTTGCCTTTTTCTCCAGTTTATTGATTATTGTGTACTTGGGAAAAACATGCTGAGGTCTTTAAAGCACATGTGCTGAGGTGTTCCTCTGACTTACCCTTTTTAAAAGTCCATTTCTAGTGACATTTTATGGAAAGCAAGCTCCTAAGGCTAAATTACTATCTCTGTTGCTGTTTCTTAACATCATATTCATTTTAAATCTAAATAAGCGTATCTGAGTATTTGATGAAATTATCATTGAAACGGCATGTTCCTTAAACCAAATAAATCTGCATTTTCAGATAAAAATATTCCATTGGAAAAACCCCAAATCACTTTTATTGTCAATACATCCTGTTTTCCTGTTTTATTTTAGAACACCTAAAAATCCAACACATTGCACTCTGTATTTTGCACACTCAAGAGCTATCCCTGTGTTCATGAGCCAATATTTTCATGTCTTTTTATCTGTAGTATAGGCATTTTAATAACTATAATATAGAATAACCTTCAAGTATAGCATCCAGATTGAACATACTGTGGTATAATACTGCAAGAAATGTCATTGCAGCAATGGTCCTAATACAATTCGGATGTAATGCATTGATTGAAAAAACTGAATATGTGTTCATGGAAGTGATTGTTGATGACTCGAACTCATATCATCACCAGGCAGATGCTGAGTTATGTGGAAGCTAGACAGTTGCATGAAGGTATGAGCTGTCTGTGGCATAGCACCTCGCCTATGTAGGATTTTCTCAACATTCAGTTACACTGGACAGTAGGGGTGATACATTAGGATCGGGTGATGGCAGAAATGCCTCTTTCAGTAAGAGCTAGTTTCCCATTTTTCAATCTTTGGACTGTTATCTCACTTAACACAAAATTCCACTGGTTTGCAGAAGTTAGGTGATACTTGACATGAATAAACTGGTAAGATTGTGTCTGCTATGAATTTTGAAAAAAAAATCTACAGTCATCCATTTACTTTGGAATAAATCTGAGTCCTTATGGTCATATGCAGAATTAATACATAATTGGTTAGAAGCATCCTTCTTTAGCTTATCATCAAGCCATCTATCATGTAAACTCAACTGGATATGGGGAGATGGACAGAGGTTCTCCCCATCCCTGCTGCTGCCTTTATGGAGAGTCCCTGTAGAACAAGATCCCTGGGGTGCTCCATTAGCTTAAAACATACTGCATAGCTCTTTTTTTTTTCCTGTTCCTGTTTTTCTTTTGTTTTCCAGCCAAAAATCTTCAGAAGCTTTTAAACAACAATGAGGCCAGAAGAGATTGTTGTCTAAATTTAAAGAGAATAAAAGTCAACAGAGAGCCTCCTGCACACATGATTTATTTCATTCTCTATTTCTTGCATTAAGCCAATTACTTAATGGACAGAAAGTTATTTTACAATCCTTCAGAGTGTGAGGCAGATTACAGAAAAATTTCCCTAAGCAATGGAAAACAATGTATAAATAATAAGAACCTAATCATTTCCTTTAATGAAAAACTGCTCACAAGGGAGAAAAGATACGCATGCATATGCACTAAAATTAAGTCATCCTACTTACATGCTCATGTCCCCATCAAGCATGCTCTTCAAGCACCATTCTGAAGCTCAAATGCTGCTATGCCTCGTGACCCAAGACATATGTAGGGAGAAGACAGTGCTGTACTCGTGTCAGCTCATTTTGGCAGCTCTCCTGACTACAGAAAACAGGAGGTAGCTTTATCATTCTATTTCTGTTTTGACAAATTCCACAGAAGCCAGATATTTCTTCCCTCACCAATCCCCGCCAAAAATACCCCCAAAAAACCAACCAACCAACCAACCAAAAAAAAAAAAACAAACCAAAAACACAAAAAGAAAAACCCACTAAAAAAACCCTCCAAAAAAAAAAAAAAACAAAAAAAACAAACACCAAAAAAAAAAAAAAAAAAAAAAGGAATACAAGGAAACACTAAGCAACAAATCAACCCAAACCCAAAGAAAGAAGATCCAAAACAGGAGTTTCCAAAGTATCAGGGAGCCTGATACTTTCATACTTAGGTACAGGTGTAGAGAAGACTACATGAGTTTAAAGTCTTCTGATATTAACCCCATTAAGGCAGCTTACTGCTACTCAGCTGGGGTTTGAACAGTCCAATTTTAAAGTCTCTCCATATCAGATGGGGTAGATTTAAACATTCAGTAGCTTTTCCCTGTGCAGTATTAATACTCAGTTTCTGGCTGTAGAGAAGCAGGAACCAAGACACGACACAAACACTTTGTATGCTTACCCAATAGCACTACTAACTATCTACCTATCTTCCAGGTAATAAACACGGTAATAATTCCTACTGTTGTGAAAAATCATTTAATGAAAAATATTCCAATACTAGCAATCAGAAGGGACAAAAAGCTTGGAAGGACCTGGTAGATGTTAGCTGGCGATATATATTTCTATCCAGAAAATCTGGATGCCAGTTTCAGAATCGTTTTGTAGTTTAAATTATTTCCTAAAACAGTATGAGAGGGCAAAAAGCTACCATTATGGAAAAACACTGATCTAAACCCTCACAAATACTCAGAAAGTAGTGCTTGACCTCCTCTCTTCCCTGTACAGTAAAATTATGTCTTTAATTTACATACAATTTATACTGAATTTCAGAATATTTCAGTCAGTTGGATTTCACCAACAGCTCTTATCATTCTGCTATATGCTTTCTTTGTGTCCAAGATTAGCAGCTATATTATTGGCAGATGTGCTTTTCCCTAACATCTTTTTGAGTTGCAGCTCCTTCCAGCCCAGAATGGGCAGGTACTTTCCAAAGTAATTTTATGCAGATCTATCAAACTCTGTCCACATTCTGGTCGATGAAGTGAATTCTTGACAGAAATGCCTTCTCAATAATGATATTTTGAACCATTCCAACTTATTTCTGGAGTTCCATCAGTGGATTCACCTTAACAGTATAAAAAGCATGACTAGTGAGCCATGGAGTGCAACTAGGACATTTTGGTTTTGACAGCTTTAAAAAAATTTCAGAATATATTGGTTTAAACAATTGATCATTTTAGTACAAAAAAATTGAAGATGGCAGGTGGGGGTCAAGGAGATGGAGGAGAAAAAACTGGCATCTGTAAGATGAAAGAAGGTGATGTTCTCCAAATGCATGTTGTCCACAAAGGAGTGAAGGTGTGTGGGAGCTGCAGTTCACACTTTAAAAATGTTAAGTATCCACTTGTCTTGAGTCCTTTCAAACAAATAAGGGAGCTCCCACTCACATCAGCAAGTTTTTACTACTATCTTCCTTTGGTATTTCTAAAATGTAAAATTATTTAGTGCTAAAGATCTAAAGGAAGTAATATTTGACTCAAAACCTATTTCAATAGGCTGTTTTGGGACTATTAAATGAGCATTTGGGCTGACAAAAATGAGTTTCTGTTTTGTACCATCATATCCAGTTATGCAGTGAAATTAATTCTGTGTTCAAAAAACCTATTGAACACGCCAGTCCACTAGTGTATTTATTTTGCACAGAATGTCTGGAGGTGATTTTCTATCAATCTATTTGTGCTGTATAAGTATTTTGCATTCACTACCACCCTCTTTTAAGAATGTGAATACATCACGCAATAATGGAGTTTTGCAAATCTCAGAAATTACTCTTTGTGGAAGATGGCAAAAAGACCCCCACCTAATTAACCCATGTGCTATTTTGTTCACTAAATTCTTCTTTAATGGTTAGTGTGCATTTATGAAAATGAGTTAAAACTGCCATAAGGTTTAGTAATTTTATTTGTACACCCTCTGTGAATTTATCATGTGATAAATAATACTTTTCCAATCTGAACACAGCTGTAAAAATCCCCTCAGCTGTCACTGTTGCCCAAAACACTGTTTAGCCTATTTTCTCTACAGCTAAACTGGTTCCTGGTGTTATTCTCATGTCTGATTGTTTTTCTAGCAGGCATCCCACTTTTTGGATCATATTTCCTTTTTGCTCATTTGCTCATGTACTGTGTGTATAACATACTGTATTTGGCTAAGGAATTTTTTTTTTCTATTAGAAAAAGTACAATTTCTTGTATCATTCTCTTTCAAATATATTGATTATACAGTCATCTAAATCTATATTTGCAATATATACAATGAACATTTATGGAGCTTCTAAGAAAACTGGGTTTTTTTGTTTTTTTTTTTCTGATATTGCATCTACTTTACAGAATGGTATTAAGCTAAACAGAAACTCAAAGACAGTCCTAACATATTTCTAATTGTTATTTGATTCTCTTGAATCCTTCTCATATAAGATTAATTTAGAAGATTTCTTCACAGCCCTTTTCAGATAGCTCTAAAAGACAGTTAAGCAGCTGTTTTTACTAAAGAACAAAGGCAAATGCAATGTCACTCAGAAATTCAGGTGCACTGTGGAGGTTTTTTTTTTTTTTTGCCTGGGTACTGCTTTGGCTATGAAAACTAGGGTGGAGAGACAGAGACAGGCAGAGAAGAAAGCCTTTTTCAAGGGTCATTTCTATTGGCATCAACACCTGCTCAGTGGATTCTGGTTCTCTCCCCACTTTCAGCTGTTTTTTCCTCCTCCCAGATGCCTCCTCTGTTGATTGAATCATAGAATTACTTGGGTTGGAAAAGACCTGTAAGATGATAGAGTCCAAGCATTAACCTAACACTCCCAGGTCCACCACTAAACCATGTGCCTAATTGCCACATCTAAGTGTCTTTTAAATACCTCTGGGGATAGTGATTCAACACTTTCCCTGTGAAACCTGTTACAGTGATTTAAAATCCTTTTGGGGAAGAAATTTTTGCTACTATGCAATCTAAGTCTCCCCTGGAGCAACTTGAAGCCTTTGTCTTTTGTCCTATTGCTTGTGCTTGGGAGAAGACACAGACCTCCATCTCAGGAGCTTCCACAGTGAACCAGACCAGAGAACTGGTGTCTGTTAAAATTAACAGGTTATTTTTGACCAATTTGACCATCTGATCATCTTGCCATGTGGCCTCCCAGCTATGCTCCCCTTAGAGAGGAGGCAAGAACAGAAGATGATGGGCAGGAGGACAAATGTAGACAGAAGGAGCTTAAGCTGATGTTGATGCTAAAGTCTGTGGAAGTTTGGCCAGCCCCAATGTAGATGGTATCATACCATCGAACTTCCAACAAAAATAAGGTATTGGCCAAAACGAAGCCTCAGTACAAAACCTGGAAAAGGAGCTTTCTTTGTCAAAAGAGTCATGTCTTCAGTCATTTTGCAAAGGAGCAGACCTGAATTGAAGATATTTCCCTCTGCTATTATTTTGTGGTGATTTTAATAAATGAAAACACAAATCAATGAAAATGGCTGGAAAGCAGTTGAAATAAGTACAAAAATTAGAAGCCTGAAAGATCACTTTGTCCATTTTTCTGTTTTTCTTCATAAAGTAGCATGAATCAAAAAATTTGGTCAGCAAATTATGCAGCTGAAAACAGTGCTCCTTGCCCATCTTGCTTAGTAGGCCTGGACCCCATTACACTTGTTTATGAAAAATCTTCCAGTGGATTCATTTAATTATACAGCATATTGGGTAGTTCTTTTGGCCAATCTTTCAATATTATATTTTCCAGTAGCCCAACTGATATAATAGGTGACAACTGCTAGTGGCAAGAGTGTGCTTATGTCATAAAACTGAATGCTTTGCTAGGTGGTTTCTCCTTTGAGAGCGCTGCTTCCTTCAAAACCCAAGTGCTGTATTTCAGGCATTAGACACACAAAGACATTACTGCAGCTGACCATAGGGCTGTGCAGCAGCTGAGTGTTGTTAACTGTTGGATCACTTTTAACAAAAAAACAAATGCAAACTGATGTAACACATCTTTGCACTCCTTAATTGTCTGCAAAATATTGTTAAAATAATTTGTCATGCCCTACCAAGAACTGAAACCTGATTTCAATAGAATCTGAAACCTCTGCATTGATTTTTTTTCATTATGCTTGCCTAGTAACCCCTTCCTCTTCTGTCAAAATATTGCTTGAATCTTTTTATTTTACACAGCTGTTATATCTATTATGCATCTTAAACAGAGGAATGCTCTTGTTCTATAAAGAGTGAAGCACATACTTAACTTTAAGTTTGCAAGCTGGCCATAGAATTCCAAGTTGTTTCAGCTTAATAACTCACATAACTATCCCAAGGATTGGGTCCATAACCATGTAAAGATAACTATAAGATAAATATCAGAAACACAAATGAAAATACTTGAGCATATGCACAGCTTACTGTGGCATTACTAAGTCATTAGGGGTGATTGCTTGTGCCAGGAACTTAATATAAACATTTGATGATTTTGCATCTCCCTGATTGATCATACATTTGTTAGAGATGATGAGATGAATTTCATATTTCTGTACAGCCTGAAAAAAACTAATAAAATGGAATAGGGAGCTATGAAACAGAGAAGACCTTCTTCCAAATCCTGAAGGTCATTACTTCATGAATACAGAAATATACCATCTCTTGGTAAAAAGTACAAATATATTCTGTAGCATAATGCTCTGTATTTATATTTTAAACAATTTAATGAAATATTAAACAGATGCAGTTTGAGATTCTGTTATTAAGCTGTAGGAAAGGTCATGACAGTAGAAAGACTGCAATAGCTACTCTGAACAAAGTATCTTGTTATTCAATAATAACATGAAGTTTTAACCTAGAGCTGATATGCAGTAACTAAAAATCATAAAATCATAAAATCATAACTTTCTTCTTTTCTATTTTCTGTCAGCAATGTTTTTCTCAGTGAGGGAATGTGTATGTGGGGGTGTTGTTTCTTTAAAATATTATTTTCTCAAACTCATCTCTTTCTTATCTTTTCCTTTATTCTTCCTTTCTAGCCCCTGTTTTTTCCTCTGCATTCTCCCCTCC